GGTAAGCTGTGACAAAGTGAGAGAGTGGCATGGACATATATACACTCCCTGATGGGTTATAAATTGCGGCGTGCACGTGAGAAGCGGCTCAGATGTGCATTCTGTCTGGTGGGGATGGGATTCAGAGCAACGTGGGTAATAAAGCACTGCTTAACATACCTTCATAAGCAGAGTAAATGTTTAACTTTCTTCTTTTTTTTTTTTGGCTGCACTGCGAGGCTTGCGGGATCTTAGTTCACCGATCAGGGGGTCGAACCTGGGCCCCCTGCAGCGGAAGCACGGAGTCCTGACCACTGGACCGGCAGGGAAGTCCCGAACTCTCAACTGATATAAATGGCCTGTGGGAATTTTCTTGACATCAGGAACATACTACTTTTGTGTTCGGAATGTAGAAAAATTAAAATCCTGGACCAAAAATGAAAAGGAGGCAATTCCCTGGCAGTCCAGTGGTTAGGACTCTGTGCTTCCACCGCAGGGGCCCTGGGTTCAATCCCTGGTCGGGGAACTAAGATCCCATAGGTGCGGCCAAAAAAAAAAAAAGAAAACAAGGTGACATGGCCATGGCCGTCCTCATTTTCTGGCCAGCGTGCCCTGACTGGCGGCGTGGATGGATGACCCAATAGGGGAACGTCCCACTCTTCCTAATTCCGTTTTCTACAGCAAATGCTGCTTTTGTTCATGTCCACATCTGTACCCATCAAGTGAATTTATGCAGTAATACAAAGTATAAACATTCATGTCTGGATCTGTCCAAAAAAATTAATTTTGTTGGCTATTAGCACTGCCACAACAAGAGGGGGCGATTTTAGCGTTTTTACCAAATACGTGTGGAAGGTAATTTTGATTTATGACGAGCTTCTCCTGTGAAAACATGCCAGGCCTCACGCAGTGGCTTCAACATTCTGGAATTTTGACTGCCGGTCAGCCACGGCGATGGGCAGAAGAATGGCCCCCAACGATGTCCACAGCCAGGCTCTCGGGACCTGTGGCTATGTGACCTCACCTGGCAAAGATAACTGCGTTTGCTTATTAGCCGACTTGAGATCAGCCCGGGTTATCTGCGTGGGCCCAGTATCATCACAAGTATCCTTGCAAGTGGAAAGAGGAGGCCGAGAAGGTCAGAGGGATGTGGGGTGACCCAGCATGCTGTTGCTGGCTTTGCAGAGAGGGAGGGAGGCGACCCCAGCCAACGGATGCGGGCAGACTCCGGAGGCTGCAAAAGGCAAGAAAAGTAATCCCTGCGGAATTCCCTTGCGGTCAAGTGGTTACAACTTGGCACTTTTCACTGCCGTGGGCCTGGGTTCAATCGCTGGTCGGGGAACTAAGATACCGCAGGCTGCATGGCTCGGCCAAAAAAAAAAAAAAATCCTATCCGCAGCCCCCCAGAAAGGAAGGCAGCCCTGCCAAGACCTTGACTTTGGCCCAGCGAGACCTGTGTTACATTCCTAGCCTACAGAACTCGGGGAGAATACATTTCTATTGTTTTAAGTCTCAGGGCAAACGGCACTTGGTGAAGGCGGCCCTAGGAAACTGCTAATAGAAACGTCTCCCTTCCCACTTCTAGAGGCCAAGGTGTGGGCAGGCCGTCCCTCTGAAGGGTCTGGGGAGTGGGGGGCCCTCCCTGGCCTCTTCCAGCCCTGGTGTTGCCGCACCCCCCTCGGTGCCCTCGGCCTGCGGGAGCATCACGCCGGTCTACGTCCACGGTCACGTGGCCGTCTCCCCGGGCGCCTGTGTGTCCACATTTCCCTCTTCTCCTTAGGACACCAGTCGTCCTGGGTCCGGGGCCCAGCTTGATGACCCCATCTTATCTTGATTCCACCTGCAAAGATCCTATTTCCAAGTGAGGTCACACTCACAGGGTCGGGGTGGACACCGTTCAACCCAGCACAGCAGCCGGCGTTTCTCTACCAGGATGGCTTCTGGGAAGCAGGTCTGTTTCAAGGAGGGTGTGGCCTCTCGCACACTCTGCAGTGTTTCGAATCTGGGGGCCCGTGTGCCCACGCTGTACAGACTGGTGCTGGGTGCGTGGCTTTTCCTGTGTCCTTTTTTTCTCTTTTTGCCCCCGAGTTTGTAGTCCCCTGCGTTTCTGCCTAAGGCTTTGGCTAGCGGTGAGAGGACACTGGGAACAGGGTATCCCACACACCGGGGGCACCTCTTGACAGGCTCGGGCCCCTGTGGGGAAGGGCCTTTGAAAACCTCGCATCCCACACCCCGCTTCTTGCTCTCTGGACGTATGCCCAGCCCCCCGCCTCCAGCCCCGGCAGGGAGAATGTCACGTTGGGATTCCACCACTTTGCCACGACCCTAACGCTCACTTTATGAAGATGCTGCGATCTCGTAAAGCGGTCTCTCTCCTCCATTCTCAAAACCACAGGAGACTCCAAGACCTCCCTTGCCCCGCGTGGTCCCTGGCTACCACCCCACTTTCTGGCTCCCTTTAGGGCAAGGTTAGTGGGATTTTACGGGTGCCCAGCCCTCCCCTCTCTGCTGTCTGCAGACCCTCCCGTCCAGCGCACCAGCCCTCGACAGTGGTCACAAGGGTCCTCATGTCTGACTCACTGCTCAGCAGGAGAGAGACTCGGTCTCCACTTCCTTCTGGAGAGACACCGCCATCCCTCATCCCTTCGACCTCGGAACATGGGTGTGGCCGCGTAACATCCCTTTCCTCTTGTGCTCTCACAAACGCAGGCTTCAAGCATCCTCTACCCAAACCGGAATCTCCTACCCAAATACTGTAGTCGGGGGAGCAGAAACCCCTTCGGTCAAGATACTGATCTATTTTTAAGAACAACTGCTAACGACTGCAGCTCCGAGCGTCAGGGGAGAGTTGAGGAAGGATATGGAGAATTACGTGCAAGCCAGAGGTCCTGACTGGCCCGTCCGCCTTCAACTCTGCCGCTGGAGTCCCAAGGTCAAGGTCAAGGGCTTCATCGTACATTTCTCCAAAGCTCCACGTAGCTGGCCGCCTGCTCCCCCACTCCTATCCAAGCTGTCTCGCTGCGACCCAGAGCCACTGGGAAATCAGCCTGGCGCCTGTCAGGTCTTCACCGCCACGCAGCCAGGCTCCGGTGAAGTCACTTCCGTCTGGGTCTGCTCACCTGTCAGCCCCCTCCCCCACTGAGGCTCTGGTCTGGAGGAGACACCAACACAGGTAAGCCTGCAGGTGCAACCCCCCCGGCACTAGCTCGGCTTCCTTTGTGAGGCACGTGCCTTTCAGTCCACTTGGAAGTTAGTAAATGCTGACTTTTCATGGTTACGCAGCCTTGCTGTGTTTTGGTTTTTCCCTTGCATTTTGTACTGTTCACTTATTTAATACGTCCTAGCTCCATAAAGCACTTTTAAAAAATGTATTATTATTTCCTCCAAAAGGCCTTATTTCCAAAAGAGCAAGGTGTTACAAAGAACGTTTCCAAACACCTGCTCAAATGACTTCATTCTACTTGAAATCGCCTGTCAGCTATTGGGCTGGTTTTAATGACAGCAAATCACTGTGTGCTGTGTGGCGGTTTCGGATTAGCACAGGACTCTGCTCTACTTCAATGCGCTTTGATTTTCAAGCGATGGGACTGTTTTGCACCAAGTGGAACAGTTTGAAAATACTGAAGCCCATCCATTTTTTACTACCTAGAATTTAGAAGTGATCGGGGTTTTGAAAAGAGGCCCAGTGTCATTTTGAAAGGACTTGTTGTTCTGAAGCTTTTCAGTGTAACACATGCAGTGTTGTGCTTTCCCCACCTAGCGAGAAGGAGCCACCTCAGCACCTGGCTATGAAGGGGGCAAGGGGCTCCAGCGGCCCCTTGGAGGTGGGACCCCTGCCGGTGAAGTGGGACGTACGTACGGCAGATGGACCAGAATGTCCCCAACAGCGGCCTGTGAGGCCTCTGTCCGAAACCGGGAGGCTCGTAAGCTCAGTCTTGTAGGAGCTCAGCCTTAAGCCAAACCTTCTCTTTAAACCCACCCACGATACCGTACAGAAACAAGGCGCGCAGTTCCGCCCACCTTCAGGGAAGATAAAGCAGGGATGAGTGTCTTCCAGTGGATGGCATGGACACGTGCCTTCTGAGGCCAATAAATGCCGGCCAAAGACACACATCGAAGTCTCCAGGGCCTGTACTTTTTACATAAAATCCCTACAACAGCATACTGGTTTTGTGTATTTGTCTCTTCAGCTGCTGTTCAGAGCCACGTGGTGACCACAGTCGTACACTCTCTAAACTCAGATGGAAAGTCAGAGGCTGTCAGTTCTGGGCCTGACTGCCTTTCTGGACAGGTTCCCCTTGACAGCAGAGCGTGTACCTACCTGGCTCTCTACCTGCGCTGATTCCCAGCCCCCCTCCCCGGGGTGTAGGACGGTGGCCCACGTAGGGCCCCATCTGCCGCCTTCACGTGCCCCGGCCACACGGAGCCCAGGAAAGGGCTGGCTCGTCACACCTCCCTTTTCCCTTTTGTGCCTAATTCCCTACAGAGAAAATGTGTTTTCTGACGGCACGGGTTAATGGTCTTCAGTATGCAATAGATCCTGAAGACAGAAACTGTACTTCTGGGGGATTATGTATTTCCTAGAGCAGTGCTTTCCAACCCTTTTTATTTATTTTTTTAACCCAAACTCACACCTTCAGCCCCTCTGAGAACTGGTATTACACTGAGTCACCGGTCTTCAATCTGTCTGAACCCCACCAGTCACGACCTCCTTGTGTTTGTCTATACTTTGTATTAAAAACAACAACAAGACAACCCAAAACGAGTAGGGTGTTTGCGTTTGTTTTTCTGTTTTCGCCAAACATAAAGTTATATTTTAATACAGAGGAGGCTCAAGAATCACTATCCTAGAGAAATCAAAGAGCTGCGTCAGGAACAGGCATTTTATTGTGACTTTTCGTCACTTCCTGACTCAGGACCCTGTGACCCGTGACAGTTCAGGAACCCTCATGACGTCCACCACACGTAAACGCAAATACACGACGACTGTGGACAGACCACGCAGAGAAGGAGCCAGTGGGTCTCATATTCGAGGTGCTTTTTATAATAAAATTACACCAAAAATACAGCAACAAATAGACAACGGTTTATTAGACAAGATGCGAACCCCCATGTCACGGAGAACAGCGCGACCAGCGTCGGTGACTGTGGACAGCCCCGGCCCGCAACGAGCGCTGCCAACGGCCTCCAATCACAGCGGTGCTGCTCAGAAGAGGGGTTTCCTTCCACCCACCATGGTGGGTCTTTAGTCTCGACGGTACCAGAATGAAACTGTACACAAGGACTGACCAGGCAGGGTTAAAACACGCGTTAGGCTGCTCTGCAGGCTGAGACGGAACACACAGTCTTAAATAGGTTTTAATGAAACATCGCGCTCTTAAGGAAAGAGCAACAAGAGAGCAATGGCGATGGTTTGAGAACTCGGCATTACGTGAAGCAGCAGGCAGAACACACTCACCACCGGCCTGTGCCGAGGACCCGCACGGGCGGGATCTGCGGCTCATGAGAGAAACCATAAGCGGGACTTTTCTTTAAAACCTCCGCAGCACCTGACCACACTTTCATTTCTCAACAAACCCCCCCTTCCTCAATATAAACACATGTTTATTCATCAGGAGAAGAGAAAGTGAGAGCGTGTTTTGTGGGAAGGAGAGGATGAGATGTGTTTAAAATACCGGGACGCCAACCAGCACGGGTGTCGTCTCCCGAGACTTTGTACCGCGGCAGCAGGTGTCTGTCAGAGGGGAAACCGGCGGCAGGGCGCCCGGGGGCCTTCGGCAGGGCTCAATCGCAGGAAGGCACTTACCTAGGCCGCGGGTGGAAAAGAGGGAACCAACCCCGGCACCACGCAAGTTTTAGGGAAGTCAGCCGTTTGCTCTGCGAGCCCCCAGAGCACCTTCCCACGGATCTGTCCATCTGTCCGTCCAACAGACCTGAAGGGCTGCAGGAGCATCAGGTCCTCCTGCCGGCGGGCGTGCCGTTTGCTCTCGGCCGCTGCAGGTCGTATTTCACGGAAACAATAAGGAAGAGCAGGAGGGTAGCGCCTTGAATAGCAGCCAGAAGAAAAAAGTAATAGTTCAAATAGCAGCCGTTGATGTTGCCTAGAGAAAAGGAAAGAGAGCAGCACGGAAGCTGCACTTAGAGAGAGAGTTTAAAAGATTTTATTTATTTAACTTGGTTCCTACGAAGGTCAGGGTGACTTTTAACTGTGGTCATTAAAAAAGAAAAAAAAGAAAGAGAGAAAAGAATCCTAATTCAAAATACACAAGTGCTTTGTTTCCAAAGCCACTGTGAGTCAGTTGCGTCTCAACACGGGCTCCGGGCTGGGGCCTCCTGCCCCCACACGATGAGGGGCCCCCACTGTCTCCACATCAGATCCTGCGGCGGACGGCCCTCCTCGCCTGGGTCTACAGCCTGCACACGCGCCAAGACCGCGCGTTGGGCCAGGACGCAGCCTGGACGGCACGTCAGGTGTGAGTGCTGGACTCCCATGTCGTCACCTGACATCAAACAAAGTACCGTCACAGGCCGGGAGAGACGGCTGAACACACACTCCCCGCGCCAGGGGAAGGTACAAGCTTGCTTTTCACGTTTCTCCTTAAAAACTTCAGGCTGCAGGTTGATACACAGGCGCCCACTTTAACCCTAAGAGCTGACACACTGAATGGCCGACTCTGGCCCGAGCACCACGCGAGGCGCCCTACGTGCGAGGCTCCGTTCAGTGCCCGATCAATGCCGAGGCGGCGGAGGTGAAGGGCACGGACCGCGGAGCTCCACCAAGGAGGCTCAAACCCCAGCGTCTTGGTCTCTGGGCCCAGGTTCCCTGCCTGTCAAATGTGGAGACAGCACCCGGGCCACGCGGCCGCCTCCTCTTCACGGGGCCCCGTTAGGAGCCCCAGTCCACACGTAGGTCCGGGGCCACCAGGGCTGTAAAGCTGCCGTCTGTTCCCTGAGCAGCGGCCACGCGGCGTGGAGACGCAGGGCTGTGTGGAGGGGACACCGGGGCCGCACACAGCACGCCACCCCGGCTCCCAACAAAGACGGCGTCGCCGCAGCCCTGGACGGTCTACCGCTGACGCCGCTGGTCACCCACTGGAAAGGGCCGGGCACACTGCCGAACAGAGGGGCAGACAGGGACGGTGCGTCAGCAGCGTCTCTGGAGGACGCTGGCGTCTTAGGAAGAAAGCTGCTGTGCTCTCTGACCGGCTTCAAAAGCATCTCCCATTGGCTTATTTAAAACGCCAGACTTCCTTTCCTCTGAAGGTCTCTGTCAAGCTGGGTTATTCTGCAACTTCCTTTTTCTATCTGAACATATACTCATTAAAATCGGACTTTTAACACTGCTTTTATTTAACAGAACTAATGAACAGATATAATACACGTTTGTATAATAAGCACTCACACGTTTTTAAAGAATTCTCACTCCTTCAGGCTGTAGAAGACAATGATTTCCTATGTTTGCTGCTCTGGGAAGAGATCCAGTACTACCTAGAATTTCTACCAGACTGTGTTATTTATTCAACAGTGCTCAGAGAGTTGGAAACAGTGGTTTGGTCCCCGTTGCGGGAGGGCTCCACCCTGGACACAGAGATCCCACCCCCTGGACCCTGGTTTGCAGACGCCAGCGCTGCAGTGCTGCTTGGTGCCGCCTCAGCGAGGCTGTCGTCGAAACACCAATCACGCTGTTTGCAGTGCCAGCTCTGAAACATCAATCTCCCCAAACTAAAGGTCATTTACAACTTCCAAAGCTCAAAGCTGGCAGGCCGAGCAAACTGCGCGCCGTGTCTTCCCTGCCAGGGCCCGTCGCAGTCTGGCGTTAGGAAGGGTTTGCAGAACTGGGCCCACCACCTAAAAGTGATCACCCTGTACTTTCTTGGGCCTCTTCACAGACAGAAGGTAATTGCATGTAAAGATGGTAAACTCTGGGTGCTTCATATTTGATAAGACTGACTCCTGGGCCCCAATAAACAAGCTTCATGTGTCCCCCAAACATATGCACAAGAACATTCCCAGCTGCTTTATCTGCGACAGCCTCAAACTGGAGACACCACGAACACCCACATGCCGCAGAACAGATAAATGAATTCTGACTTATTCGTACGACGGATGCTCCGCGGCAATAACAAAGAACCAATCACTGGGATGACTCTGAGAACGCAGTGCTGAGTGGAAGGCCATGGCCACGGACGAGAGAGGCCACAGGACTCAGCAGGGCCGACCTCAGAACAGAGTTCATCTTGCCGGGGGCCGGGGGCTTAAGTCAGAAAGGACAGAAGGAACCCTTCCACGTCCTGCATTTTGATCTGGACGAAATGCACACCAAGCTGTGCACTTAAGACCAGTGCCCTTCACAGTACGGACGTGATCCCCAGTCTAAATAATAATAATAACGAGCACAAGCAGGCCTGGGGCAGGACAGGGAGAGAAGAAAACGAGGGGAGAATCTGGGGACTCTTCCTTCAGACGTGGTCCTGGAACCTGACAGCAAGTTATCCACGTGTCAGTCAGGAAACGCTGAGCCAGCCCCACTGCCGCTGGAGCCCTAATGCAGGCAGGACCTGCCGAAGGGCAGAGCCAGGGAGAGCCCAGGACACAGAGAAGCCGTGAAATCTGGGATCACACCTGCTGCTCCTCCTACAGAAACAAGGATGTGGGGGCGGCGGGGAGGAGGTGTCACCTGTCCCATTCTCTCTCCAAACCACCGCCCGTGACAGCCACCTGACCCTAACCAAGTGGGAGCCGACCTGCCACGTCCTCTCAAATCACTGGACATGGGGCTCCGGGCAGAGGGACTGGAGGGAAAACAAGGAGAGACCACCCTGCACTCCTAGACAGGGCAGCCGATCCAGGACACACGACAAGGCGCTTCTCTTTCGTGAAAATAACACAACAAACAGAATCCAGGTCCAACATCTGTCCACGTGTGCCACGTGCATCAATACTGGACATAAACCTCACAATGAAAAGTTTTAAAATTACCTGTCAGAAGTAAAGGATGAGTGACAGGTAAACTACCAGTTATTAAATCAGTAATGGCTGCGGGGGGGGGTGGATTAAATCACTGGAAAGCAATGAGAATGACAAAAACCAATCGATCCTTTAAGATACACGTGAAAGTAAAAAAACAGAACCTATACCTTAAGAACTACTGAGGTGTGGTCCCTCTAACAAGTCTTTCTTTGAAGGAGGTCTGTCACACGTACAAAACAGATTATGTGACACCAAGAGCGCAGGAGAACTCCCAGAGCCCTGTGTAACTGGACTTACCCTCCGAGGGGCAGGAGTAATGAGCACAGCCCCCTCAGCACAGCCAGGAGGGCCTGCCGCACACCACTGGCTCTCACAGCCGGACCAGCTGGACACATCACCAGTGGTGCCCGGGGGCAGCAGGGCCTCTGGTTTCCGGAAGCTGCATCAGGGGTCTCTGGGCCGAAACGCCCCCCTCAAGACGGGCATTTTAACTGAATCACGGGAGGGCTTTTGGAATTCTGCAGTTTCTGGAGAACAGTCTCTAAGCTTTCACCAGATTTTCAAGGGGATTTAGAACCTAGAAGTGGCTCAGTACCCAGGGGGTACTGAGCACAGAGAAGCCACAAAATCTGGGATCACACCTGCTGCTCCTTCTACAGGGGACGGCAAACGCCACACGCCTATACACGGAAAAGCAATATGGTGGTTTTTACTGGTACAACATACGAAGAAGAAGCACACCTGCACCTCCTGGGTCTGCTTAAAGGCTACATCGATATGGAAACAGCAAAGCTTTCATCTCTCGGGAGTGATTCTGCTCAAGCTGCCACCTACTGGCATTAGCTGTAAAATCCCATTATGATTGATAATGAGTAATACTTGTTTTTAACAAGGCAACTTATTATCTCTCTTTTTTTTTTTTTAACAGCAGGAAATTAAAAGGTACCCTCAGGAAAAGAAAAAAAATACGAAAATAAGATACTGGGTTGGCCAAAAAGTTCGTTAGGTCAGTGAATATGTTGTTCAATAAAGTTCTTCATGAAAATGAAAAATGTGGCTTTACTTAAAACCGAACAAACTTTCTGGCCAACCTGATAAATGAAGGGAAATTTGCGATACAGATTTTATTTGCCTCATAATAAAATAAAACTAGTGCTGGACCTGAAGGTGAGAGGGTCAGTCTACTCATCACAGATGCTCCGAGAAAACAGCAGCCACAGAGCTGCTGCTGGAGGCCGACCTGGGGCAGGAGAGGCCCACCCGTCCCCAGGAGACCATCAGGGACGTGGGTAAACGAGGGGAGGCGGGTGGTCTGACGGGGCGCAGGGAGCAGGCCGGGGGCTCCCGGGGCAGCCCAGCGACGCTGACCGCGTCTGGTCCCGGGCGCCCCATGCGGCCCGAGGACTGGGGCGCTGGTCACTGCCAACGACGGGAAGGGGGGCCGCGAGGGGGGCCTTACCGAAGTCCGTGTGGCTGCTCATCCACCCGATGGCCTTGAGGGACACCAGTGCCAACAGTCCTGAGCCCACGAAGGACCCAACGCCAGAGAAGAAGAAAAACAAGCCCATGATGGCACTCTGCATGGACTTGGGGGCGGCCGAGTACGCGAATTCCAGGCCTGGGGAAGAAAAGGAGGGCGTTTCGGGAGAGGAGCAGGGCGCCCGCGCCGCTGCCCTCGGACACCTGGGCTCTGGGGCGCGGCTCTGAGACAGCACCCAGGCTGGTTGCTCACCTCCTGCTGTCACAGCCCCTAGAAACTCTGCGAGGTGGCCAGTCACCTCCCGCCTTCACACTTGAAGGCAGCATTTGACTTGTCAGCTCTTGGAATTTCTCGTTCCTCATGGAAAGAAAGAGTTTGAAGAAGCAAAATTTGCCTACATTCTTAACTAACAGGAGTTTGCAAACAAAGTACTTACACTAAAATGGGGAAAACTACTCAGGATTTCTATCTGAAAGGCAAGGTCTTTTAGAACAGTTTCAGCAGGTGCATCTATAAGCCGAATCACCACTGTGATAAGCAGACATGGAGATCTGCGCTGTGCTCTAAAGGAAGGGCCACCCCGTGCGACTCACTCCCTCCACGGAGATCTGCGCTGTGCTCTAAAGGAAGGGCCACCCCGTGCGACTCACTCCCTCCACTGAGCCATGGCCGCTGAGCCTGCGCGTCCGGAGCCTGTGCTCCGCAACGGGAGAGGCCACAGCAGTGAGAGGCCCGCGTACCGCAAAAAAAAAAAGTTAGACCGCATAGAATCTGCCTCTTGGATGGACTTTCCCTCTCCAGGAGGTAAGAGCGATCTGGGCTAAGGAGTGTGAGACGCAATGGCTTTACTTCATTAGGATGATATAAGTTGCCGCAATATGAACTGCCTGCCGCAAACAGACAAATTCATCCAGGGGTTGTGTCCCAACCTGCGACCCACTATTAGGAAGGTTCTGAAAACAGGGGTGTGAAGAGTCTACTTTTCACGTGGATGAACTCTTCAAGAAAGGCGGTTTTGTTTCATTTTGGCCATAATGAACCGTAATAGTCATTCTCTCCTGACTACTGAATTCTCTCACATCAAGGGCCAGAAACGTAGAGCTTGCCTGACCCAGGCAGGTGATGTAAATGCGTTAACCAGCTTGGCCGAAGGTGTATGTGTGCCCCCCACCCCGCCCCTTGGAGAGGCTGGTACTGTGACAAATCAAAAAGACATCCCTTCCCAAGGGCGCGTCTCCAGCGTACGCCCCAGGGACTGGAATCCGTCTTGACCTATTTTCAGAAGTATGGATTTTTTTAAAATATAAAATCTGCTCCTTTTCCAGTGTTGGGTGTAGTGGTTTGATTAGTATTCCCCCCAGAATTCACATCTACTTAGAACTACAGAATGTGACCTTATTTGGACATAGGGTCTTTGAAGATGGAAGTAAGGTAAGGATGGAGATGAGGTCACACTGAATTAGGGTGGCCCTAAATCCAATGAGTGTCCTTGTAAGAGACGGAAAAGGACATACAGAGACACACAAGAGAAGGCCCTTGGAAGACAGAGGCAGAGACTGGAGTGATGCAGCCATGAGCCAAAGAAAGCCAACAGCCCCCAGGAGCTGGAAGAGGCGGGAGGGATCCTCCCCTGGAGTCTCTGGAAGAAATGTGGCCCTGTGGACACCTTGATGCCGGACTGGTAGCTTCCAGAACAGTGAGAGCATTAATTCCACTTGATTTAAGCCGCAAAGTTTGTAGCAATCTGTTACAGTGGCCCCAGGAAACTGATATACTGGGTGAATTTTTTAAAATACTCAAGACCTGGACCCATTCCAAGCTCCCTCCAGCCCTCAGCGAGGACCACGTCCACAAGGCCAGCAAGCGGATCTGGACACGCAGCTCTAGGAACCTGTAGGGGTAAAACCCTGGTCCCTCGAGAACCTTTCTTTTGGAAGTGTTTTCGCAGCTGGACGAGGAGAGGACACCCACACGAACACTCCAGGGAAGGCTCCATTCCTTGTCACTGGGCACCTTCCATCTTGGGAAACGTCCAAATGCAGTTAAGAGGGGTTTGTCTACTCCGGTGCCCTCAAGTGCAGGCTCTCCGCTTCTTCACTTGTGGGAGTCCCCTCGGTCCCCGAGATGCCTTTCTGGAAGACTCCCGGGCTAGCTGGCACCGTCTCACAAGTGTCCTGGATACTCCTCCCCGTTTCAAAACCCTCCCAGCCCCACTGAGCGGGCCAGGGGGCTTCCAGCTTGTTGCCCTGGGGTTTTTCATTCATTCATTCATTCATTTTGGCTGTGCCGGGTCTTAGTTGTGGCATGCTGGATCTTTAGTTGCGGCATGCTAACTCTGAGTTGCGGCACACCTGCAGGATCTAGTTCCCAGACCAGGGATAGAACCCGGGCCCCCTGCATTGGGAGCATGGAGTCTTACCCACTGGAACGCCAGAGGAGTCCCGCCCTGGGGTTTTTCTGTCTCCACTGGGGCTGGGGGGTTGGGGGATGATGTGCAGACCCGCTCAGCACTCAGCCTCGGCAGCCCAGAAATGAGCGGGGAGCGGGTGCCGCACTGGACAAGGGGGGATGGGCCCAGCGGATGGACAGATGGTCCCTGTGTCCGCAGGCAGACAGCTCTGAGACGCGTTTCAGAAGGGCCCACGGAATCCAGTGCCAGGTACCACAGTGGCAGCAACCAACTCGGTAACTTCTCTGTTACCTGCTCTCCTTTCCCATTTCTCTTCCCCGTCCCCCTTTCCTGCTCTGGGGTCCCACCGCAGGCTCTCCCCAAGGAGATGCAGCCTCACAGATGGGGCTGTGCTCTCAGAGGGCATGTAAATCCCTCCGAGGCTAGAAATGAGATGTGCTTCATCTCACAGGCAATGAGGAAACGTGTTGGCTCATATTACAAGACAGGATCCCACGTGTGAGAAAAAAAAAGCTAAAGACACATGCAACCTATTATATTAGCTCTAATGAATTCTAAGTCGGTCTCAATACTACGTTGACCCTAAGAGATTTTGGGAAAAATGACTTTTTTTTTTTAAAACTACTTAATAGCTTTTATTCTACACATTTATAAAAGTAACAGTCTTGCCAGGGAAATAGTTTTCACCCAACCACCATATATCTGAAAGTATTATGTTGAAGTATAAACTCAAAATGAGGCCAGGTAGGCTCAGTAATACTGGGGCTCATAATGTAGGAGCTGAGACTTCCCACTGGAGGAGTTCCATGACCCTAGAAGAGCAGGTTCTGTTTTTACTTGGAGCAGGAATGGTAGACAGAGGTCCTGCATCAGCTACACTTTTTAGTGTTGGTGAAAAAGAAAACCGTCCATCTGTTTTGATGCCTGTTCAGTCACACAAGAGAAAGCCATGAATGGTTCCCCACTTTGCACAGTCCGGTTTGCTTAGGGAGGATGTTCTCCCTGGCCATGTTGGAAAAACGGGGGAAACCACGATTTCATCTGTTACACCTTTTTTTGCACACACTTTTCAGCCAAAACTGAATTTTGGTGGATTCTAACTGTATTTTTCTTCTCTACACAATTAAAATGAAAAAAAAAATCCTTTTTAACCAAAATATAATTAGCATATGACATTGTGTAAATTTAAGGTGTACATGTCGACTTGATACGTTTATATACTGGCACTATGATTACCCCAGGAGCCTGAGTTAAGACCTCTATCTCGTTTTTACATAATTATCATTCCTTTTTTGTGGTTGGGAGCTATCAAGATCTAGTCTGTTAGCAACTTTGAAGTTTACAATGTAGTATTGTTGACTATTATCACTATTCTGTGCATTCGATCTCCGGGACTTATTTATCTACTAGTTCCCAGTCTGTCCCTTTAAACAAGGTGATTTTTGTATCAGAGTCATTCAAAAACTTTCTTGGCAGTTTTGGAAAATAGCCTGTAGTTCTAATTTCAGCCACTAGATGGCAGGGCAAACAAAAAATGGCAGACAACTCGTGGGCTTAGGGATTGCGTGACCAGAGGGGGTAGGAGAACCACCCTGGGAAGCGGTCTAAGCCCAAGTCTTGCTCTGCATCCAATTGCCTCACCACAGGGGATGATGCTACCCTGTCATCGCATACCGTTTTCAGCATAATCCTTATGCTTTCTGCAATGTTATTGTTTGCTTACATGTTTACTGTCCGTCTCGCTCATTAAGACGTGAGTTCCAGGAGACCTGAGACTTCACGGCTGCAGCCCCCAAGTTTAAAACTGAGCTAGCACACACGAGGTGGCTAAGGGGTGTTTGTTGAATGAATGAATGATGGGAGTGGAAGAATGAACGTGACCTCTGATCCACGCAAACAGGCTGAATCTCCTTCTCTGACTTTGCTGTTTCCGACGGCACCGTACCTCACGGTGAATGATGATCTGCACTTAACACGGTATCCGGGACATTAGAAAACTGCTGAATTCCACGGTTTGACTTATGTCTTTGAAATATGTGAGCCCTGAAGAGCAGTAAGCAAGAAGTCCTCTGGGTCTAACTAGCTCGGTTTAGGTTTAAAATTGAAAATGGCAAGCATAAATCCACTCGGAGGCTTCTCCGATCATCCCCGAAGTGGGTCCTTCCCCTTTTGGCTCCAGGAACGACAAATGGCTCAGACAGGATGCAAGCTGTAAATTCTGGCACATCGAGGTTGCTTGAGATAAATCACCCATCTGCAATTAGTCCGAGCAGGCAGAGGTTTTGCTGGGAGCGTGGGGAATAGCGGGGATGCCCCATCCTAGCCATGGGCTGAGGGATGGAGTGAATTCACACAGCAGGGCCAGGATGGAGGGTTAGGAGTGAGGCTGAGTCTTGCAAGAGCAAAGGGGCTTGTGGTCCCTCCCTCCATCTTCAAAGCCAACAACCGGATCACTCGGCTCCCCCCCCCCCATCCTCACTTCTCTGGGGTCTCAATCTGCAGCCCCCTTCTCACTTATAAGAGCCCCGTGATTCCAAAAGCTCCCCCAGATAACCCAGGATACTCTCCATCTCAAGATCCTTCACCACATCCTCATTTTCGCCACTTGAGAGAATATATCCTAAATTCTAGGTATTTGGATGCGGACATCTTTGGGGGGAGGGCAGTACTCAGCCTAACACAATGCCGATCTGAGTTTTAACCTGCAGATAATAGAGAATGAAGAAAAAGCTCATGGTCTAGGGGCTGCTTCCATGAAATATAGTTAGCTTTGTTGAATAGGCCACCTTGAGTGGAGGGCTGTGTGTCCTGTTTCTAAGGGCAGGGTCCAACCTTGACTGCTCTGCTCCGGCCACTGGATGGCCACTCTCTGTGAACTTGCTCATCTCAAATGAGGGGCCCCGTGGGTGACAAATTCTTCCAGACCCAATGCCAATAGCATCCTCCAGGAGTCACTGGAGATTGTATATACACACAAGGAGGATGATGGGTGAGCCTGCCCGGCCCAGGAAGGCTGGCCCTGTTTGAGACTGGAGACAAGAGTAGCTCCCAGGGGGTGGTAACTTCGCTTTGGTTTCCAGACACACTGACAATCACACCCGCAAAGAGCACGTGGGGCTCAAAGACCTAAGTCCGAGGTGCGGCCCTGACGACTTCATTATTCCTCAAGGAAGCACGCGTGGGGTTTGAAGGTCTTGGGAGGCCTGGGCATGGGGTCTGACAGGTCCGAGGAACCGTCCT